TTCAGGTTCCTTGACCATGTAAACTTGTTCCTCACTAATGGACTTCTGGCAAGGGATGGGGTACACCTCACCAGGATGGGGAAGGTGACTTTTGGGAATGGTCTAGTGGGTTTCATTCGGAGTGCTTTAAACTGATCCAGGGCGGGAGGGATCAGAACCCCCAGAACCTAATCATGAAAACAAATATGATAAGACTGGTGAAGGAACAGGAGCAGCGTCTCAGGGGCAGGGTGATGTAGAGACCTCAGGGGCTGGCATGATTACTGCACGGAGGGCTCCTGCTGTGCCAGGGATGCCGGGAGGAAGGAGGAAGTCAGGGGAGTCCCGGTGTCCCCAAAATGTTCTGGTCCTTTCAGTGGGCAGGGTGAGCAGGCTGGCTGATGGAGGGAGCGAGGAATCAGTGGCAGGGTACCTGGGTGTCAGGGATTACTGGGTGGCACAGGCAGAGAGGCTCATGTGGTGGGGGGGGGGTCCCTGACCTGGATTGGGTCTATGTCCTGAGCAGCCAGGGGATCTGCCAGCAGGGCCTTGATGTCCTGGGTCAAAGGCCATGCCCACAGAAGCTCATTGGTAGGTGCAGGAGGGCAGTCGGCCTCATGGCACTTCCTTGTTTTCTTGGAGCTGGCAGGTGCTAGTGGCTTCCCTCATGTTTCCTCTTCCACAAGTGTTTTGCAGGCCGTGTGGGTTTGGCAGAAGGAAGGTCAGAAGGTCCTTTGGCTGCCAGCTTCAAGTTGGCCATGCAGAGGATTCTTTGCCACAAGGCAAACCAGAGGCAATCTGCCCTCTGCCAGCACATTTGTTTTTTGACAGTGTGGGCAGGTCTCCTTGATATGTCCCTCACTGAGGCAAAGCAGGCGTAAAGAATGGCTGTAGGCAGCTGGGAGGCATGCTGTGCACAGGGTGCAGCTCCGGAAAGCCAGGTCAGCCATTAGAGGATATCATTGAGGCAGAGAGTGAAGAGAGAAAGGAAACAGAAGAAAAGTTCCTCAAACTTCAAGGGGTGGTTGCAGGGGGACAGACAAGTCGCCTAGAGAGGAAAAAAGGCAGCAAGAAGGGTCTTTTGTTGTGGTTGTGGTTGTTGTTTAAGTAGGAAAGAGAGAGAAAATATATTTTTGGTTTTCTTTTGTTTTTGGTTTTTTGGTTTGGTTTTTGTTTTTGTTTTTTTTTTGTTTTGTTTTTGTTTTTTTTGTAGGAGTGAATATAGGAAAGGAAAAAAGGTAGGTAGTGAAGTTCTCAGACCGATCAGGCAATGCAGAAAGACTTGCAGTCGAAAAGAAACTGGAGAAGTGGATGGGAGCCCCCACCCTTCTTATCCAGAGCCCTTGCAGGAGTGTGTGTGTGGGGGTGCTCCTACCCACTTCATGTCATTTAGGTGTAGAAGTTTCTCTCCGATCCATGCCTTGATCCATGCCTTCGCGCTGTGCAGCAATGCCCATATGCATGACTGCACAAAGACCACAAGGAAGAACTATAAGAATTGCCCTCAAGGACACCAGAGATAACAGCAATGACTGGCTAATGACTGATACCTGGAGTAAATGGCTGGCCTCAGGGCCTGGGAGATGGGCCATCACCCCGCAAGTCAGCTTTGGGATGAAGCCCCACAAGCAGCCTTTTGTTCCTCTCATGGGAGCTTCTATTCTGCTACTCTTTCTCCATGCCAAAGAGTGCTGTGGCATCCCGTGCTGTTAGAAGGCAGCCTATAGAATATAGGCTAGGATAGCAGCTGCTTGTTATTTTCTTGTCCAAGTAAGCCAATGAGGCCCTGAGAGTGGAGTTCTTAGTTGGCTGTAACTTGTCTTGTAGCTCCTGTCCAATTCCCCCTCCCTCCTCCCTTCCCTCTCTTTCCCTGTTTTTATTCTTTTTAGATTCTATGTTTTAGTCCCTCCACCCCTATATTTTAACCTTTTAATGAACTTGCTTGTTTCCCAAGCTTGGATTTCTCATGTGCTGAAGCCAGTGGCTGGTCCAGGTTTCTGGGACCATGGATTTTCTGGGCAGGAAAGTTTCATCCAGTTGGTTGGGGGAGTGGTGAGGGTAATGAGAAACCCCTGAGGGCTTTCCATTACACTCCACTCCATCATTAAGTGGATGCAGTCCAGTTCCAGAAAGGGAACACCTCCTATTAGATTGGTTGGCTGCAACCACCAGTGTGAGGGAAAGATATTGAGATTTAGCAGGATGAGTGACAGATTGAGATTCAGCATGATCTCCCTCTGGAATTTCAGGAGAAACATCTGAAAGGGCCTGGAGTGGAACTTGCTCAATGAAATGAGTCTTGACAGGAGATTAGCATGCCTATGAGCTTTCTCAGATTCTTTGAACCAGATATAGTTGGCCAGATAGCTCACCACATGCTGTCTGGACAGAGGAACTGTTATGATGTTCTTGTGAGTGTCCAAGGTTATACCCAGGTAAAGGAGGGACTGGGGCTGGGACAGATGGCTTTTCTTCTCGTTGACCAGGAAGCCTGGTCTCCAAGGTTGCAAGAGTGACTCCATGAGTGTCTTGGAGACTACAATCCTGTGTTGGGGACTGGGTCAAGATGTCATCCAGATATGGGTGGATTTGGACTCCTTGGTTTAGAGAATGTCACTGGGGCTAGCATGAACTTGGTGAACACTTGTGGAGAAGTGGCTACCCTGAAATGGAACAGTCTCCTGCCATAGCTAAAGTGGAGGCATCTGTAGTGGGCTGGATGGATGAGGATGTGCAGGTATGCCTCCATCAGATCCACTGAAAAAACCAGAAAATTCCTTTTTTAAGGAATTATTTTATGGATCTGAGAGTTTAAAGCTGAACTTCTATTTCCTTGAGATGGCAGTTCACCCTTTTCAGGTCCAGGATTGGAAAGACTCCACCATCCTTCTTTGGGACAGTAAAGGATACTGAGAATATGCCCTTCCTCTCTCTTCTGAGGAAACTTCTCTATGGATCAGATCTTGAGGAGGCAGTGGATGGGCCTTGAATGTTCTCAGGTGCTTGGTGAGTTGCTGCGTCCTGAAGAACATATGTCCGGGAACCTGTCTGAATTTCAGGTACCAATCTTGTCTCCAGGAATCAATGATCTGAGGAAAACTGCCTCCAGCCATGATCTGAGGAAAACTGTAATAGGGAGGTGTGAAGCCTCCCTATTACACGGGGAGGCAAGCCAGCATGCTGAGTGCTTCTTCCCCTGGTGGGAGACTCTGTTGGTGAGCTCCAACTTATCTTGGGACCCTGTTGCCATCTTGGCCTGGATTCACTGGAGAAGGTGAAAGGAAAAGGAGGCCAAAAAGGATGAAATAGCCTTGGCTTTGCCTGGTGTCACTTAGACTACTTCTTCAAGGTGTTCAGCATAGCCTTCTCCTTGTCCTTAGTTTTAACCAAGACCTTATTCATCGTCTAACCAAAGAAGAGCTTACCAATGAAGGAGGCACCCACCAGATTGGATTTTGACTTGTCATCCACTCCCCCGCTGCACAGCCAGATTTTCCTTCTTGCAACTATGTTAGAAGCTGTAGACCTGGTTCCCAATTGGACAGCCTCATGGGTGGTATCTGCTGAGCGGTCATTTCTATGGCACAGTCCTGGGCTGCTTTGTTTATTACCTTGGTTTGGAAGAAAGTATTGGCATTACCTAAGTCACAATGGTGGCTGTTGTATCTACCCTGGTTGCAGGGGCTGTGATTATAAACTGTTTGAAGGAGGCTACATCCTCTCACCTGTCATGCTGTTCAGATGGAAGCTCATCCCACTCAGAGCTCAGGAGGGATCTAGGAGGTGAGGGCTGCCACCAGGTTGTCTACCCTAAGAACTGCCAGCTCTTCTGTTGCTGAATCCTGCAGGCAATAGAACTTCACACAGAAGCTGTGAGGATGTCTGGTATTGGCCTGCTTCTCCCACTCCTTTTCCGTCAAGATAAAAAGCAGTGGGACTGAAGGATGAATATGAGGCAGCACTGAGAAGGCTACCACTGCTGCTCTCCATTTTGTATCCCTTGCAAGGTCGAGGGAGTGTCCTCCTGGTCCCAAAGCTCCAGGATGGAAGCTGGAAATCAGGTTCTGGAAAAACTCTGGAGAGAAAAGGAGCTTTTGGGGCTGTCTTTCTAGAGCTTCTTCCTCCTACTGGAGTTCTCCCTCCACAGAATCTGAGGGAAAGAATGTCCAGAGAACTGGGACCTGTTAGATCAGGCATCCAAGAAACAAGTGGGGTAAGTTGAGCACCTCCCCTTCCTCCTTCTCTTAGGCATCTTCAACCCATGTTTCTGTGGAGGGTCTGAGCTAGACTGCCTACATCTCCTCTGAGGGAGGTTTCTATCCTTGACCCCTGTGGAATTAGGTGAGAGACCCCTTCTTTTCTATGTCTGCTTCCCTCCCCAGGTTGGTAGGACCCCTAGTAGGAGGGGCAGTGGCTGGTCCCAGGGTGAATCAAGTACTCCCTTCTCCTGCTGTGTCAGTGTCTGGATCATGAACGGAGGACTAGCAGATGGGAGCACCAGGACCAGGGCAACCAGAGTGTGGCACAAGGGTCAGTCCAGCACAATTGAAAATAGTCCAAAGGTCAGAGAACCGAGAAGACAAGCTGAGGGAAATACGTCATTTCCCAGCCCTGGAGGCAGGGCAACCCCCAAAACTAGCTGGTCTCCTGTAACCAAGGGAGAAAACTTTCCAAAAGTTGGTTTTTATTTTTTTGCTTTTTAGGCAATAAGCCTTTGTACAGCCTTATCCAACCAGATGCTTGGGACTTCAACTCCCATTAGCCCCAGCCAGCAGAGCTAGTAGTTGGAATGTTGAATGGTGTAGTCAAAAACATCTGGTGGACTGGGTTCAGGCTATTATGAAATGTTATGGGGTAAAGGCTTCTGAACTTGTGTGCAATGCTTGTCTAGAAATGTTTCCAAAATTCTTTGTTATTTTAATGTGTAGTTTTAATGATCACTGTGATCACTGTGTTTAATGAACAGTGATCACTCCACCCCAGTTCATAGCAAATATATGAAACTTACCAAGTTTATTCACACATCCATGTAACTGGGGTTGTAACAACATTTGTAACATTGCTGGGGTATTCAAGTTTTTCATGATCTGTACTGCATTTGGATCTGGAAGCAATGCCTTTCTATTGTTCCTCACCTTGAATAAAGGAGGCACAGAAAAAGAATTATACTCCCCCAAATAAATGTTAATTCTGTAAAACAAAGTTTCTTGCCTATAACTGTTAACACTTCAAGTAATTTCTCTCTGCATTCACACACAGGATTGAGCCCATTCAAGGCTCACCTTGGAACAGTCTAGGGCTCTAAAAGAGAAGAAAATTTCTTTCCTTCAACTATGCAAATTTTAGTTACTGCATTTGCTCAAGGGAATTTCTATCACTGCCTATCATTTCAAAAACACAAAGCAAGCAACCTATTTTTAGTTGTTACTTCTGTGCAGTCTCACATTTAGGACAAAAGTTAAGCAGGCTGTCCTAATTAAAAGCTAATAAAAATAATTAACTATGATCTCAAATAGTCTTTTACTATTTGGGCCTGGAATATGCAAGGCATTTAAAATTATGAAAACCCTTAACCAAAGTGCTAAACTAACCATCCTGCCATCACACAATAAAGCATTCAAAGACAAAATTAGCAGACTTAAGTGTTCCACTTGGTCAGATTATGTTACTCGTAGCTTTCCATATTTGCCAATTCCACTGATTCAGACATTTTTTTAACACAGAGCTGAGTTTTGTGTTACTAATGCAGTGTTTTTCAACTGGACCAGTACATTTTCTTCTTAGGAGAAAGGGGGAACAGTGTGCATTAGGTGCCCCTCAATTAGCACCAGTATGCTCATAGCTTAGAAGAATCATTTCACCATATCATCACAAAGTGACAAACTTGAGACAATAATGAACTTGACAACAAATCAAGTTCACAAATCAAAAACAACCTAGGGTTCTTCTTCATCAGTTTCCCTGGTTAACACACCATGGCTTGTTAATGAAGCTGGGTTCAGACCCATGTACACAGACCCAAACACAACAACCCATATTTCAAAAAAATCAACTCACACTCAAAACCCATACTCAGCTCTTGAGACACCAATATGTGTTTAATGTCAGGAGACATTCAATCTGACTGAAAGTTCCAGGCAAAAAAAGCAACTAATATTTGTCTACCTCTACACCTTTGGAACTAATAATGGACTAAAACTTTTTTACCTGACATGGCCATGTGCTTTCTGGTATTTTTAAATATTGCAGACCGACATAGTGTGAAACCTCTTATCTCCCACTGTGAGAGGAAAATAATTTTTTAACCTGGCTGCCAACCAGAAAAGCCTACGTATATATAGGAAAAGAGTGAGGGAAAGTCAGAGTCCTTTTTTTTTCTTTAGTGCGTATTTACTAATTCTATAGATATTGCATTTTATTTTGAAGATGCCAAGGTCTGTATCTATACAACTTGCTAGTGAGTGCTTAATGCTTCCAATTTAATGAGAAATTTCCCAATTAAGCCAAATCCACTAATCTTGAAATTTATTTTTCAATGATATTTACTGCTGTCCTTAATTTACACCAAGATGTGTCACTCATATGGCACAGCTACAAAGATACAAAGCTCCCCAAACTTGCTTAAGTACAGCACCCAATTTTTTCAAATTCTTTTAAACAAAGTTCAGTTCCCATTTCTCTGATCTTTGATTTCATATCTAAAGAAAGGACTGAAAAAACAAGGGCAGCAAGACCAATCCAGAAAGAACAACAATCTGAGGACAGATAGAGGTGTGACTAGATATTCCAGGAGTGATTTATAATCTTGACTCATAGACAATTTGGCAAGAACTACCATTTATGTGTGAGTGGAACATATATATCACATCAATATATCACATAGCTGTGTATGTGCAGTGCATAAATGTATTTTTCATGTTTCCATTGGTGGTGAACACTCCTTAACATCTGTTGTGCTGCTATAAGTGAAGCAAGGGTACTGCACCCTGGAGCTCCAGGAGCACAGTAAAACACATGCAGTCTCCTCTCATTGCTAATCAATCCATCTGTGCCTTGCTGAACCTCCTCTGCCTACTCTGCTGTTTCATACTCAATCATTGCAAAACCAGCAAGAGAGCGATCGTCAACCTGAGCAAGCTGTAGGAATATTTTTTTTTTATAACACAGAGAACAAAGGACATACTTTATGTTACTGTTTTGAAACACCACTATATTATTCCCCCATTCTATGCAACATCTACATGGAACCACTGTAGATGGAACCAGATGTAGATGGTTATCCAGAGATTTGGGCTGAGATGTCACCAGAATGCTGACAACACTCAGCTCTACCTCTCTGTTTCATCTAATCCAGGTGAGGCAGCAGCCATTCTGAATTAGTGTCTGGGCTTGGTAATGGATTGGATGAGGGCCAATAAACTGAGACCTAAGCCAGACAAGTTGGAGGTGCTGTTGATGTGGGAATCACCTCTCTACTTGGGTGACATTAAACTTGTCATGAATGAGGTTGCACTCCCCCTAAAGGACAAGGTTTGTAGTCTGGAGGTGCTACTGGACCCTGAACTATCACTAGAGTCACAGGTTGACTTGGTGTATAGCATCTTCTATAAACTATAAACTCAGGCTGATCTATCAACTATGACCATACCTGGACAGGCAGAACTTTGCAACAGTGACCCATTCTCTGGTAACTTTTCCCTTCAATTATTGTAATATGCTCTATGTGGGGCTGCTTTTGAAGAAGGAAACTTCAACTGGTTCAAAATAGGGTGGCGAGGCTGCTGATGGGAACTGGTTGATAGGAACAAATTACACCAGTGTGCCCAGCTAGCAAGAAGAAAAAAGGGTTGGGGGGGGGGAGATGCAAAAAAAAGTAGGTTCAAATGAGTTGTCTGGTCCATTGCACCTTGTATTTAGTCTTTTGAGCAGGCTACTTGTCTTTTGTGAGTAGCTCTGCCTCCATGGCAGCTATTTTGCAGTGGTACCCAGGAGAGTTTCTGAAATAGCTAAATGTTCCCACTGTTGCCTAGCTTAGCCAGTATGTCTAACAAGAAGAACAACAATGAGACAGTATTTGCTTGAAATTTTAATAGACTTTATGTGTGTTTTAGTTATTATCTTGAACTACTTTTCTTAAAAACTAGCATTGTTGTTTATCAATTTAGGTTAAGATGGTTTTAAATATTGCTGAACTGTGTTTCCTTTCAGGGAAATAAGTGGCACAAATGCTTCCATAATAATACATATGTTATTATGGTAGTTCAACTTATCAATTTGCTCTCCTGACTGAGAAAAGATGACCAAAAAAAAAAAAAAGACTGAAGTACTCAACTCCTACTTTGGCTCAGACTTTTCCCAGAAATAGGGTCTATGATCCCACCTTCCAGCAGAAATAAAGTAATAACTGAAGGGGCAGGACTAAAGCTTGAGATTATTAAACAAATGGTCAAGGAACAACTAATTTCTTTGAATGCATTCAAATATCCACAGTCTGATGAACTGGATCCTAGAGTAATAAAAGAACTGGCAGAAGAACTCTCATAACCATGAATATCTTTGAGAAATCATGAAGGATGGCTGAAGTGCCAGATGACTGGAGTATGCAACATTTTTATTAATGACTTGGATGAAATGGTTCAAAGAATGCTTATCAGGTCTGCAGATGACACCAAATCCAAAGTGATTCTGATAGGCTGGAGCATTTCAACAGGGACAAATGCCATGTTTGGCACCTAGAAAAGGGGAACCAAATGCACAGTTACAAGATGGGAGACACTTGGCTCAACAATACAACAATTGAGATAATTAGAATTGTTGTAGATCACAAGTTAAATATGAGTCAACAATGAGCTTTTGCTGCAAAAATGGCAAATGCTATATTGGGCTGCACTAATTAGAAGGATAACTTCCAAAACATGTGAGATATCAGTTCCCCTCTATTCAGTATAGTTAGGCCTCATCTCGAGTAGTGTCCAGTTCTGGGCACCACACTTAAAGAAATTCAGAGGAGGGCAATAATGATGATCTGAGGACTGGAAACAAAGCCTTATGAGGAGAGATTGCAAGCAGAAGGTATGTTTAGCCTGGAAAAGAGGAGACGGGGTAGACATGATAGGACTTATCAAATACTTGAAAGACTGTCACATAGAGGAAAGCTATCTGTCATCCCAGCATGCAGGAAAAACTTCCTGTTAGAACAGTACCGCAAGAGAACCATCTACCTAGGGAGGTCAAAGCTCTCCCACACTGGAGGCTTTCAAGGGGCAGTCAGGCAGCCAAATGTCAGGGATGTTTTAACTTGGAGTCCCGCACATTAAACTTGATGGCCTTATTTTTTTTAGAAAACCCAGAATCTTTCAGTAGATAATAATACAGTAGATAATAAGGGGCTTCATGAGGATAGCCATATTAGACTTTCAAAGTAAAAATAGTCTTGCAGCACCTTCAACCCTAGAAGATTTATTGTCACATAAGCACTCATGAACAAAAGCCCATTTTATCAGATGTATGAAGTGTTATCTTCAGATGACAGGTTGTCTGTGCCAGTACTTATTTCTAGATTTTGGATTTTACAGCTATAATACATTGTGCAAATGTACCATATTGAAGACTCTTAGTACAGTTTCCTATACACCTGACCCATACCAAAAAAAACAACAACCCAAAAACAAAAAAACCCCAGAGGCACTAGATTTGTAAGTGAAGATTTAAAAATCTTCATAAGACTGTTTTATGAAACAGAAATTCTGTAAATGTTGGGGATAAGTACACTCAAGGCAGTCTTCAAGAGGGCCTTTTACATAATTTCCAGGTGACTGACACAGACCAAACATAGTCAAGCCTAACAAAAATTTTATACTACTACTGGATTTGTCACAAAGTAGTAGCATACTCACTAGTTTCAACATTACTCATTAGTTTCGACATATTAAGCTGCAAATCAAACAATGAAAAATACATCTAAACTATCAAGTCTGCAAAGACAAAAAACTGACTTTCAAAGACATACATTTCTACATACCTGGTAGAACACAGATTTATGGTTAGTTGAGAAAGTTTGCATCAGATCCTCTGCATCAATACAGTTTGTGGGGAGGTTTTCCACACAAAGGCACTTTGAATGTATGAGTTCTGGAGTTAATAGGTTAACATCCATCCACTGAGCCAAGAGGATATTACCACGTAACTGTTTCCCTAGATGGTCCAATCTAGCTTTAGCTGCTGAATCCCTTTTCATGTATTCCACAAAACCATAGCCCTTTGAATAACCAGTGATTTCACCATAAATCAGAAAGTGTCTCTCAACATTGCCATATGGCTGCACCAAGTGTTCAAACTCTTGTAATGTACAGGATGTGGGCAAATTGGTAATGCAGAGCAGGGCATCAGTTGGCTGAAGCTGTACTGATAGATCTTTTCCCTGAAGTGAGTGTTGGTGAAACAGCCGTATCACATTCTGAGCTTGTTCCCCATTCAATAGAGTAAAAAAAGCTGAAAGACAATAAAATGAACCAAATATTTACATACCGGAGATGTCTGCATAGTATGACAGCTCATTGTGGTACGACAGCTCATTGTATCATGTGCAAACCCGACAAGCATGGGTCACATGAAAGTCAAACAATCCTCACAGAACCCTAAAACAGACTATGAATTATGCCTTCTCATATATATATATGTAGGAACAAGAGATGGCAGAATGTATAAATCTGATATGCTACTGCTTATATTCCCCAAAACCCCTGGAAGCAAAAATGACAAAACTGAAACTGTTGCACTTCATGCACATCAATGGAGAAAATAATAATGCTAGGAGAAATTGAGGACAGAAGCAAAGGAAGACCAAATATGAGATGATCATCCCCATAAAGAAAGCATAGCCTTGAGTTTAGAAAAGCTGAGCAGAGATGACAAGGAGAGGCCATTTTAGTGGTGATATTCAGGACATTAATTCATAGAGTCACAGTAAGTCAGAGATAACTTGACAGCATGTCAAAAATATTTTTTTTACTGGTTCAAAGTGAACATGTAAAGTTCATTAAGACAGTTTCTTGTCTCATCAGGAAGTGGAAGCTCCACTTTCACAAGCTGCCTCCATTGGATTTCCTGTGATTCTTCCTTTACACTGGAATCCCGCATCCAAAAATTCCAAGTCTTTCATGATACCCCACTGTCCCTCCTGGTGGGGAAGGGTGGTACATGGACATGTTCCTTTCATGAATGAATGTTTCATTGCATATCATTCAAAGTGCCAGCATACTAAATCAATTAAAACAGTTCATTCAATAAAAAGTTCCCAGTTACATAAAATGAACATATGGCCATGATACAAGCAATGGTAATGCTAATAAAATGACATTTTATTCAAAGTCTTCAATCCCCAAAGACAAATTTTAAACATTATTAGCAGTGCAATTAACAGCTTAAAAATAAAATCTAAAGTAGCAGAGTATGTACTTATTCATTTCCATAAATCACCCTTTTTTCCCCTGCAGCACTTTAGCAGAAGATGCTGTGATGTGGCTAGGTGACTGGGCATCTGACACATAGTAACCTTTTAAAGACATTGCTGACATATCAAATTTCAATAGAGCCTTTTCCTGAAATTCAATTCCAGGAAGCTCTGGTTGCAAGATTACTGTTTAAAACAGAAAATATCTTTTATTATAGATTGCCAGTTAATCATCTCTTTCTACTGAACACCAAAAGCTAAGCAGAAGAGAAATTGAATGGTAAGATGATACCACTGGGAATCATAAATGTTAACATTTTCTTTCAAACCTGAACAATCAGAGGTCACTCAGTCCTTATGTCTAAGAGGTTTACTAACTAAATTATAAACCCAACAGTCTTTATTAAGCAGATTTAACTCCACTACAGTGGTGAACATCTTATGCCAGATAACCATAAGGTTTTGTCAAACCCTCACAATATTGGATGAAAAGAAAGATGTAAAATACCTCAAACACTGCAGGTTTGGACAATACTCTATAGTCTGCGGTGGGATATTTAACCCACGATGAGCCATGTACCCTGTGGTCAGCTTCCATATGCAACCTCACTCAGGGGTTCTAGCACCACTATATAATTAAGGCTGAACTGACTAGAAAGGCTTTCTTTACAATAACATTTGCAATTTGTTATTTGTTTTCTACCCCAGTAATTTCCTTAAACAGTGCAATTCCAGTGACCTGTTACTGCAAAGTAAGATCAACCAAGATGTGTGATAATGCCTTAGTGCATATTTCATAAAGGAAATAAAATGCTCATCAGCAAGATTTAAATGAATCACAATAGTATGATGCTTACTGACTCCTCTAATTCAGATGGAATAATGAAACTATTTACCTAGAAGCTTGGTAAGCTTCTAGGTAACTCTCTGTTGTATCCTAAGTTACTGTTCTACAGAGGTGGGTTTGGAGTGAATAACCATAACGTAAGTAATAAAAATAAACACTATGTTCACACATGCAAATTAAAAAGTAGGTAGTTCCTCAGAATAACCTGTTCATGAATTCCATCCCATATTATGTTTTAGGAATCTCTGGTTACTTTAATTGCACTAAATATATTAACCGTGAAATCCTATACAGGTCCACTCAGAAAGAAGCCCTGTTAATTTGAATGGGGCTTACTCCCAGGTAATTGAATAAAAGATTGCACCCGAAGATCTTCAAAGGCAGTTCAGAGGTAGTTTAACCCATAAATTGGCAGGGTGCACTGGATTGATGCATGCTTGCCACTTTATATCAGCTTTGTTAAGCAACCAATTGGAACATCTTATGCCTGGATCATATGATGAGACACGAAAACTTGGCACTCTGGATTAGTGAGAAGCAAACAGAGTTGTGCCCCAGCAAGAATGCATGGCTATAAAAATTTGGATTGCTTGTCCCTCAACAACCTTAAATTCTGGGTTAACATTCTATATCAAACAGCCCAGGAATTTTTTTTAATCAACACATTTTAAAATACAACACATTATTTTACCTGTAGCTGAGATTGCTTTGAAGGAAGTTTAAAATAAGTTACCACTGGTGCAGAAAACTATGTACAAAGAAGTTGTTTGATGTGTTGGACCTCTGGCAAACGACAAGTCACCTGTCATTTGGGCATGTTACTTGTTCTTTCTCATGACCATATGGCAACCATTTGTGATAGTGCCCAGGGGTTTCTCAAATTGCCAAATGTGGCCATGGCCCCAAAAGGTTGTCTACTCTTGATACAAGACTTTGTGACTTTCCTCATTTCAAAAACTGGAAAATTCTTTGTCTAAAACTCGATACATATAAGCATATTTAATATTTAGTGCCTCATCATTTGATAACTCTGCACTGAATATATGGCAAATACCTAGGGTTATTTATGAAATGACATCAAGTGATAAGGTAAAGGTAAAGGTTTCCCCCTTGACATTAAGTCCAGTCATGCCTGACTCTAGGGGGCAGTGCTCATCTCCGTTTCCTAGCCGAGGGAGCCAGTGTTTGTCCGCAGACAGTCTCCGTGGCCATGTGGCTGGCATGACTAAACACCAAAGTGCACAGAACGCTGTTACCTGCCCACCAAAGAGGTACCTTTTTATCTACTTGCATTTGCATGCTTTCGAACTGCAAGGTTGGCAGGAGCTGAGATAGAGTACAGGAGCTCACCCCATTGTGCACATTCGAACCGGCAACCTTTCGATCAACCAGCCCAGCAGCACAGCGATTTAAACTACTGCGCCACCTGCAGTCCTATTTAGTGTTTTATCTTCAATGGCTGTTCCACATTTTCATGTAAACACTGGAATCAAAGTCAGTAAATTACAAGCATGCACTTGTGAATTGGTTCTGAGAGTATAAAGCTTCATGTGAATACATTATATACATTTCCCAACATTTGTGAACTCTGATGCAGAGAACAGAAAATAAATGTAATGATTCCAATATCTGTACCATTTTATATCTGAAATTTTAAAAATTTGTTTTGTTTCAATATGCAAAAAATCCTTCACTGAATCATATTAGGTTGGCTCAACTGTAACGATAAACCTTAGAAACATAGAAACAGAGTGAGTCAGAAGGGGTCTCCCAGGCCACCTAGTCTGACTCCCGGCTCTAGCTGGCTCCATTCATGGCATGCCTACCATGTGCATGTCTAGCCTATCCTTGAACACCCGCACTGATGGGGCTTCAACCACCTCCTGTGGAAGCCCATTCCATACCCTAGGACAGGGGTGAGCAACCCGTGTGCAGCAGAGGGATGAATGTGGCTCTTTCATCCCTCTGCTGCACTCCCTGTCGCTCAAAATATGCGTCACAACCGCCAATGTGCGACACCCGCTGGCACGCAATTTATTAAGCTTTTTGACCCCTGGTAGGCCAACCATGGATAAATCCAAGAAAAGAAAAGTTTCAGAAGAAAACAACGTTTAATGGTATGTGGGCAGATTCATTTGCTTTCATTGCTGACTAGACTGGTTTACCAGTATGCTTAATATGTGGTGAGAAACTAACAAACAACAAAAAGTCGAATGTTGCAAGACATTTCCAGAATAAACACACAGCCTTTGCTGAAAAATATCCGGATGGAGATGAGAGAAAGAGAGCTATTTCAGAACTGATGCGGAAGGTTGATTTGAGCAAAAATCATAATTTAAGTTTGGCTTTTTATTTCATAAATACGAGGAGGACTCAAATAGACATTGAGTATTTTATTTATGAAAGTAACCTTCAACCCAGCATCTATTTTTGGAGTTCAAAATGCTTTTGTTGCATGCAGAAATAAAAATTTGTTTTCTCTGTAGCAGTTCATTGATTTCATAAATGTTTTTTTATACATAGTATAAAGGTAACAAATATATGCAGTGTTATCTTCATTTTAGATGTCAAAAGAGTTTTGTGGCTCCTGGTGTTTTCTTTTCTGTGAGGAAACGGGTCCAAATGGCTCTTAGAGTGTTTAAGGTTGCCGATCCCTGCCCTAGGGGTCCTAACTGTCAGGAAGTATTTCCTAGCATCTAAATGGAACCTTGGTTCCTTGAGCTTGGCTCCATTGGAGCTTGTCCTGCCCTCCTCTGCAGGGGAGATCAGGTCTCTACCCACCTCCACATGACACCCCCTGACTTATTTCAGAGGCTGTGTGATGCAGCACTAAATGCTTTACTGTAACTGTTCCTGAGGTGAACCGCGGGAACATATGGCACTATCAGAAGTGATGATTGCAGAGATGTCCTTTTTCTCTTTATTTCTCTTCCTCCTACTTCATTGCATGCACTACTGTTCATCTATCTGCCTTCTCAGCTCATCACAAATCACAGTCTGCCAGTTTATACAAACTGGTACAATATAGCTTTCACAAACCAAGACACGAATCAAATATTGCAAGAGATAACAAGAAGGTGCCATCTTAAAAGTCCTTTAAAGCCCAGTCATGCAGCACCAAGTCATAGTTTTTCATTATATCTGAAGTAGCACATTGCAGACACAATTTAACATATTATTTTTATTTATTTATTTATTAAAACATTTTTATACATTATGAGTATAGAGACAAAGTTTCATCAAAATATAAAAATCGATTTATATAATGCCATATATTCCTGCTTCTTACCTGTTCTTTTATTTTTGTCCACATAACAGTATTTCAATTCAAAACCTTTTAATAAATCATGGATTTCCTGGAAGAAAAGGATACAATGTATCAAAGAGAAACTCAGTGCAGTGATAATTTTAATTTCAGTGGTAGGGTTTAGAAAATGTTCTAAATAAAGAATTATAGCTAAAACACGCTGCTAAACAAACTTTAAATAGAAATGACTATGAATGAACACACACTTCAACAGCAAATATGAGCTTTCGAGAAGCAAAGCATAAAATAATACTTATTCTCATTTTTTAAAAAAGCTGCCAAAGGCTTGCATGTTAGGTTTAAGTGTGGTTTTTCTTTATCGTACAACAAAAGTTCCCTGTCTCACAATGAAATGTGTCACCCAGATACAGGAACTTGTGTGTGGAGGTAAAACACCAGACTTCAACTGTGAAATAACACAAGTTACAGGATCTTTTTTTGTCTGCATATACATAGGATTGTATCCTAAGCCGATGCCAATTTGCTGTAATAACATGTATGTATACAGAGTAATTCCTTTTTACTATCAGCATTTAATATTTTGTTTGTAAACATTTCCAGACTGAGATGCATTTCACCAGTCAAACAATGCTGCAGAGAAGTAGTTAGAAAACAGCAGTACTTTTAGCATTTCTATGAACTTTAGTTCTTTTATAATGCATTTCTCTCTATAATTCCGCAGTTCTGTGCAAATCCCTATGGAATACAATAACTAGCACCTGCTTTACATCTAGACTGCTAGATGCTGCTTTTTTTTTCTCTAAGGGTTGCTGCATCCACTTTCTTTAATGTATTGAAAAGAACAATAGAACTGCTCATTAATTTATCACACCCAGCCCCAAAAAATGACAATATGTGGAGCTGTCTCCTTCTTTTTAAATTCCATGTTTGTTTTACATATGCTTTTCTTGCCATGCTTCATATTTATATGCTTATGCATTGTAACAATTTGTGATATGCCCCTTTTTGTGTTTATATAATTTATGTTCACATCACACCTTGCTATTGAACTGTTTATTTATTTAAAGCTTTTATATGCCATCCAAAACTAAAGTCTCTGGACAGCTTACAAAAAAAGTTTCTGGATTTGGGAATTAATCTGTTATTATGTGTACACAGTTACCATACTCTGGTCAGTAAAGTCAAAACAGAAATGTAAAGTCTAGAAGAAACATGAGAGAGAGAGAGAGAGAGAGAGAGAGAGAGAGAGAGAGAGAGAGAGAATTATCTGCTTTAATGCTATGAAGAAAGGCAGGTCGTTTACTTCTAACTGTGGTCATTGAATGGTCATCAGTTTATTACTTGTATTATGACTTCCAAATGTTGCTTTCCCATTTCTTACACTATTATACCTTGTTGCTATAAGTTAGTTAATTTGAATTTGATGGTTTGGTTAGCTCAGAGGTCCCCAACCTTTGCAGATCTTTGGGCATATTTGGAAATTTGACAGACTGCTATGGGTACCAGCATGAAATGGCTCCCACTGCGAATATGGCCAGGCACAGAATACATGCCATAGGAGGCAGGCTAGTCAAAAGTGAGCTAAAGAGGTGTGGTGAAGAAAGAAGTGAAGCTGGGGCAGGGATAATAAGGTAAAAGACAGCAGGGGTGAAAGAGCAAGTCTGGATACTAGGAGGAGAGGTACAGGGGTGGGGGAATTGCAAAGCTAGAGATTGAAAGAAGGGGAAAACATGGTAAAGAGGAAAGCAAGTGAGACTAGAGGATAGGAAGGGGGAGAAAGAAGACTAGCTAACATTATCCTAAGTTTTTATTGAATGAGGGAAAGGGGAAAGTTGGGAAAGGAGGCAAGGGGTGGGGAGTTTTCCGGGCACTGTTGGACATCCCAGTAGGTGTCATATTGGGGTCCTTTCAGTGGTACAGAAACGAAATAATTAAATGCAACAGATTAAAAACTACTCCTTTTGATGCTGCTTTTTGAGGGTTGGAAGAGACAACTACTACTACAATGTTGGATTTCTTGACTGTTTTGTATGAGCAGCTCCCACTTCCCCCTGGGGATAGGAGGAAAATGTCTTTAAAAAAAAGAACATGGGCAGACTGTCCAATTCTATTAGGACCAGTACTTTCAGTTTTTCATAAATTGTCTGGAATGATGAATCCAGTGAGCTGCCAAGTTTGCTGATGACACCAAATAATTTAGTCTTTTTAGTAATCGATATCTTTCCTATTCTTGATTGTTTCACGTTGTTTTCAATGTGTGTTTGTTGTCTGTTTACATCTTTGTGAGTAAATGGATTTTATAATTTTAATTTATTCAAACTACCAAGAGAGCTTTGAGTATCAGGCAGTACAGAAACATAATAAATGCATAAATAAAAATTGTTCCAAAAAGAATTCTTCAAACATGGAGAACAGACATTAAAATGGCTCATGCTATTCACTGTCAGCAAATGTAAAGGCATGCACATTTAAAAAAAAAAAAAAAAACCTTCTCAAACTCATAGGTATGTGGCTAGGATCCTAACTGGCAGTGACTAAGAAAAAAATCTTGGGGCTGTGGTGGATAGCTCAATGAAAATGTTGTCTCAGTGTGACTGCTGCAAAAAAAAAAAAAAGCAAATTCTGTATCAGGCATAAACAAAAAGGAACTGGAAATAAAAATACATTGCACACAGCTGGAGATACCGACCTCATTCAAATATCATTGTGGCATCTTGTGGCAAACTGTGGGTATGTGTTGCATGTACACAATTTCTTGTCTGCATTGACAACCCTTAAATGCCAGGTTTGAGGCTTGCTTGCATAATATCTGAATAGGGTCATTTGCGGGCTGTTCTTGGTTCTACTCAGGTGACATTAGGGTTGCTAATGCAAACAGGAAGCAATTTGAACTAACTGTGCATCTCTACAATTCATGGGTTAACAAAACCACTATTTATCACTCAATGTCATCCTTACATCCAAATAAAATCAGCCAGTGCTGGGAGGACTAGCCACTCTTCCCAGGGCTATTGGCGGGGTGGGTGGGGAGGGGAGGGCGGTGTTGTTTCTTTGGTGGCATATGCCACACTGCACACACTCAACTAGCACTGAGAGGAGGACACTCTTCTCAGCAACTGCCTAGTTCTTCCACTATCCCCCATGGGAACACTGTGGGCTACACAAAGCCAAAGACTTAAATGGTACTTGAATGAGTGGCTACACCAGCCAAGTTCCTTTCAATGGAGCTTACTTACCTGGGAACTTCACTGAGACTTAGGCACCTGATCCAGTATGCTAAGTTTGTATGTGGATTTCTTTGCTAGATTCAGAATTAAGTGTGCTGATTATGTGCATTAGAACTCCAAAGACAAATCAAACTGTGCTATCTCTACCCGTACAGCACTGTGTGAAACATGTTCCTATTTTGGTTTGAAATGTGAATCCTCAAATGAACAGTTCCATTAATTGCCTTGCATTTTAACATGCCTAGCTAACTGATTGCAAGCCAATATTGCAGCCTAACGTGATGGACAACTGTTCATATACATAGGCTTGTAAATAGCAGTAAAACAGCATCCTTAACAACAAAAAGCTAAAGGAAATGAAGTCTATTTCTTTTAAGTTACCATCTAAATTACAGTTGCTTTGATAGTCCAACGCAAAAGCAAAATCCACTTGGATACCATGTATTTACTCCTATTAATGTGCTATCCAATATTCTTATGGCCAGAGCTTTGAGTATACTCTGAAAGCATGGCTAACACAAATGAAAACATCTTGGCAGCTAGCTCCTTTTTTGGTAACACTCCTTACAACCCTGTTTTCTATTACAAGGTCTATTTGCATAAGAAAGATAGATACCCTCAAGTTAATTTTCAGCATAGCATGTGAACTATTTGCCCTTCTAATAGAGAAATTCTTGAACAGCTAGTATGTTTGAACCTATTATCCTAGGGGTATCAAAACTTATGCATGAAAATGATACAAACACCTAAGAGTACTGTTGTCTTCCAGCTTGCCTCAAGAAGCAAAAACACAAACAAAATCCACTGCAAGTGGTTTGCTTCCTCTTCACAGTAAATAGCTTAATGGTTAACCTGAAAAAGGGCTAAATGTTTTAATTACAAAAACTTGTTAGTACTTTCCCAAGTAAATCAGACCTACTGATGTTGATAAATTATATGGTAGAACTTGGAATGGAGTATAGATGAAAATCATCCTAAAATGACAACATTAGTGCTAGAGAGACCAGAGAAAACAGATGCGCTTTGTGACAAAAGGTTTTTATTTGCTATTTTAAATACAAAATAAACATACATATTTTCTGCAAATAAGAAAAAAACCTTACATAACAAAGCTAACTAATGCAGCATACGATGTGCACATTTAGTTGAGCTTTTCTATTTTGAATCCCCTCCCTCACCCACAAATCTATATAACAAGCAACATAGGAACTCAGTATCTGTTTTGCAACTCACAATAAAAAGTAATTGACAAGGTTTCTGCAAGAACTATTTGATAAGACATCTTCCATTTTCTAGAGATGCTGCACTTTAACAGTTCTATTTAGTACAGAACAAAGTATCAACTTTTTATCAGTCACTTTCATTATACCATCCACAGACTTACTAAGGGAGCAATCCTATGATAGAAAAAAGTCCTACAACTGCTGGCACGCTTCAGTCAATAATGTAATCGAGTGATTTGTCAGCTCAGGAGGATAAATGCAAGTCCATAATATCTTCATCTTTACTTACTAACTCCTCATGGATACTCTCTACATTTCAGTTCCCAGCTTTTCTGTAATAGCAACAAAGACAGGTTAGCTTGTGTCACACTGAATTAAGTTAAAGCAGAAGCTGCAAGAGAAAATCTGCTACAGTGAGGAATGAAGAATGATAGGGAGAAGTGATTGTGCAGGATGAAGTATAATAAGGACAGTTGTGCAAAAGAAAGCAACTGCATTCTGCACTTTTAAAAAGTTTCCGAATAATAGTGTAGTAATTGGTTTTATTGTGTGTCCTTAAGTAACCATTTTCTGCATCCAAAATATGGTAGCTTTTTAGTGAATTCTACTAGTCCATATAAAGTTCAACATTGTACAGCATAAAACCAGTCCCTAAAACCAACATGACTAACATGTAGCACACTCCAGATGTTCTTGGACTGCATCAGCACTAGCTAACATACCCAATGCTGAAGAATGCTTGATGCAAGCTGCAGTTCAACATCTGGAGGACCACATGACCTCCATTTCTGCTCTAAAGGAAAATACATTGGGTGATCTATTACGCTAACCTAAGGCAGACAACTTAATCAGTATTCCAGAACACACAAGGTATAAATTTAAAGATCCTGACTAATTTGCATGTTCAATTACATGTAACTGTCAGTTTGCAAGCAGATTATTTATGACACTATTATTTGGTCCACCAGCTTAGGACCTTTTTTCCTAACTTTTTCTAAGGTACTTTTCTAATTTTCTCTAAGATATTTTTGTTCTGAAATATAAACTAACAGAGACTTCAGCTGAAAAGCTTTTAACTCTGGGTTGAGAATTAGAGTTCAATTTGAAACACAGTAACATTTAAATTCAGTTTTATTTGCTTAGCTATTTTGGAGCCTTTAGCTATTTTCAACTACATCTACGAAATCATGAGGACTAGATGTCTGCCTATCTTTGATCTACAAATAGCCTTTGCAATAGGGCATAGTTATTCTACCCAAGAGTTAGGAAAAGGCAGGGGAAAATTAAGAGAACTATCTTCAGCTATCTGTTTGCAGGAAACTTTCCTCTGTGTTTTGCTTACCAAGATCTGTACACCTCTCCACTTTTGATCTGTAAACCTTTTAGGAAAGGACTAGGCCACTTTTGCTCAGCACAATGGCTGGCATCAAAGGATCTACACAACTAGTTCTACATGTGCAATGTAGCATACATTTCTCAAGCAGCAGTTGCCCAACAATCATTTCTGAAACTGAAGGAAATGTTTAAAACACATGAGCTGCAAAGAAGGTAGAGTAGTTCTTTAGATCCAGTGTCTAACACAGTACAGGCACTTCAAGTTAAGTAGAAAACATTATGGGATTACTTAGTATTTAGTCGCAAAGTCATGCCCAACCCATCATGACCCCATGGGCAACATTCCTCCAGGCTCTCCTGTCCTCCACCATCCCCTGCAGTCCATCCAAGCCCACCCCCACTGCCCCAGTGACCCCATCCAGCCACCTCTAACTCTGCCGTCTCCTTCTCCTTTTGCCATCAATCGTTCCCAGCATCAGGGTCTTCTCCAGTGAGTCCTTCCTTTCATTAAAACAAATGAGAGTAAAACAAATGAGAGTAGGTAAAAAAAATGATGTACTAGCTTTACAGTGCAATGCTATTCATGTCTCTGTAAAATGTTTGTTTATTTATTTGTTTATAATAATTTTATCCTGTCCAAACAATCTAATTGTCTCAGGACAGCTTACAATATAAATAATAAATACAAACTAATGTACCATCAGTTGTGCACTGCTTTGTTTTGTATTTTGTATTTTTTGTATATTGTATTTCAAATCACTGTTTTTATTGTTATGTGTTTTATGGATTGTAATCTGCTTAGAGGGCCTTTGGGCTGATTCAGCAGATAAGAAGTTTAAAAAATAAATAAAAATAAATAAATTAGGTGGCCAAGGTTATTAGGGGATGACTACCCCCTTATAACCCACATATACCATTTCTAATGACAAAACCAGGTTTGCATATAACCATTTGCCTAGTTGCCTATGGTCACAAATAAACTATTTTGTAAATTTGAAGGTATAAAGTCAAAGAACAACCATAGGCATATAAATGTAGGCAGGAAGGGTAATAGAAATCTGTTGGTTATAAATTATTGCAGGGCTGGACAACAGCAACAGGCTCATTTCATGCAACTTTAAGAGTTGTTTCAAATAAAATTATATCAATTGGAGATTCACTTCAAATGTAATACAATACTAGAGTAGCCTACACCTGCTAAAATCACAATCCTGCCACAACTTTGAATACTGTCTGCTACCAATATATTCTGTAGACCAGGAAAATGCATTTAGGAACAGAAATACCACCAAGTCATCAACATGCAGAAGTTACCGTTTATAAATACACTTATTAAAACAAAACCAAAAAACCTGTGAAGCATTCCACTCCCTACCTTATATTAACATCCCTAACAAGTGAATCTGGGAAAAATGGTTTCAGAACTAGTAAGCGTCAAACAAAGAAATATGCAAATTAGGAAGAAAACATACATGATCTAGTTCCAAAGGCAAAACAAAATTCAGCCAGGGTATCAAATAGATTCCGCATCTCTTTTCCAGGCAAGGCAACAGAAGCAATGTCTGATTCCCTGGTTGGCCTATGTTCCCAAAGTCTTTGCAAGTTCCAACTCACCAACTACCTTTCCCTATACATTTCTGGGCTAACTTTCAGCATATAGTCCCCTCAGCCCCTCTGAACTCATGGAGCAGTACCCACTCATCCCATTCCTTAGGACTAGAGAATGAGGGTATCTACCTGGCCAGCTAGGGTTACCTCTATAAGTTTTGGAGTCCTGTTAAAGCTCTGGCTATCATCATTTTTCCATTGTGATGGGGCACCTATTTATACTCTGTCCCAACCCACTTACCTAGATACCAATGATTTCTGCTTTTCCTAAGCCCTCTCTCTCCATATGCAGGAACTCCTTCCTGCCTGAAGGCTAGGACTCCATGCGTACCCTTCTCTACACGGAAGAACCAACTCGTCACAACCCTTTAAGTCACTCACTCCCCGTAGTGTCCTCACAGCCCCACAATTGCAGGAGGGCACTTGTCTCTCCTCACCCTTAGACTATGGGGGTGGGTGCGGACCTGTCCTCCTCGCACCACTTCTCCAAGGGTCTCTGCCTCGCCGTTCGTACGCCTCGAGACGCGGGGTGCGAAGAGGCGCCTACTTACCTGGCTGCTGCTCTTGAGAGGCAGGTTCCTCAGCAGAATCTTGCGCCTGTTGCTCAGTTCCCTCCTTGTATTCCGCAGCCTACAGGCGATCTCCTCGGGGGCCAAAGGACGCAGTGTTCCTCCCATCCCCATAGGAGACTTCCCCAGAGTCCCCATCAGTGCCACGCTGGATCCCGCCGCTGCCGCCATCTTGCCGGCTCTGATGCGAACACACTCTTCCATCGCCTGGGGGAAAGGGAAGAATCCGGCGTGGCGGGAGCCCGGCCAGGAGCAAGCTCAACGCCACCCCGAGCACAGGAGCCTGCTGCGGTGAACCGCGCCTCCTTGGGACACAAAGAAAAGGACTTCTTGCCCGCCCCTTTTAGCGCGCCATGCGCTCCCCCCCCCCCACACTTCTAAAGCTCTTCATTGCACTGCTGTTTCCCAACCACCTCAACTTTCATTCTCTCCCCACCCAACACTCTCCAGCCCTCGCACCTCGCCTCAAAATAGCGAGTCTTGCGGCACCCCCAGAAAAGGCAGGCAGGCTTATTGTGGCATAAACTTTAGTTGTGACATAAATTTATTGTGGCATAAACTTTAGTTGTGACATAAATTTATTGTGGCATAAACTTTAGTTGAAACAACAGTTCATTTCTCGCCCTAAAAATCAACAAGAGTGTGACGCATTTGGAAACAAAACGCCTTCTTTCTCTGGAACTACTGATTGTTAACTGTTAAGTCCCGAATGAGGCTGGTCAAAAGAGAGGGTTGCTCCCTCCACCGCGTCTTTTACAAGATTAGTATTGTTACAGACGACTGGGTTTCTACCCGCAACAGCTGCTTGGGAATCAGCAGTTCAACGGAAGTGGCAATTCCCCAGCAAGCGAGATGCTGTAGCGGGGAGAGCACTTTTGCCTGTTGAATTACCTGTAGTTCAAAAAAAGGAAAGGGTGGCAACTTGAAATGAAAGTGAACTAAGTGTTCAGTGCTCACAGAACTACAGGTAATTCAAAAGTACAAGTGATATTACAGCCGATATATTTGTTCTTAGGCCACAGGTAAGAAAATAATCAAAACATACAGTATAGGTATTAACTAATCTTAAAACAATTATCACAATATACTTATGACATATTAAGTGTGCAGCTTAATACATTAAACAATGCATGTTTTAATGTATGAAGTGTTTTACTTTTTCAACACCTTCTTCATGCCACAACATTATGATATCTTTCATTTTGTTGCATAAGGGTTTGCGGTTATGTTTTTAGAAAAGAAAAGCAGTCTACAAAACTGACAGTTCAGTCTTCAGTGACTGAGATCGCATTTGTCCTCCATTTGCTGTTACAGTTTTTATGATGCTACAGCTTTTTTGTTGTTATGGTAAATACTCCCACAAAGTCACAACAGAATATGGATGATAAAGTAAATGCTGATTAAAAGGAAAAATGCCCACAGTATGAGCTACACTGTTTGTCCAAACTGGGATTACCCTTAATGGCTGAAGGACATTACTTTGAAATATTATTAGTGTTACCGGACTGAGCCAGTCAACAGCTGGGGCAAACCCGGGTGGACCCCAGACCAGAGCCAAACAGAGCCTGAGAAGAGACTTAGAGCCAAAATAACAGCTTTATTCTAGTGCACTATAGAATAAAGGGAGACAAAAGGGGACATTCAGCCCAAAGCAGTGTCTCAAAAGCTGCACCCCAGTACATGCGTTTTATACCCTAGGTAACCAATTAGGTCACCTAATACACATCTAATACATCGATACATCAATGTATGTACCCCCTCCTGTGTTGGAGAAAGAGTTCTTTCTTCTGTCAAGGACCAGACCTTTCCCATGTCTATTTCTTATCTACTCTAGATTCACACAGGCGTGCCATGTTCTTACTCCCTGCACATTTGCAACTTTCATGGTGGCTAGAGCCAGTTTCCATTATCCCTTTGATTACCATATTCGAGGTGTTAGCTGTGGGTTACACAAAGTTCATTTTGTTCTTATCCCCCCTCCCTTCTGGAACAGTGTAACTGTGGTGTTTTTACTATGTGGCCTTCCTCTGGCCAACTACTTTTGGGGCCTTTCTCTGGCCAATTACTCTTGGGGTGTTTTGTGGTGCTGCAATTGGTAACAGTTTCCCCCCTTCAAAGGAATCTTATTAAAAGACAGATTCCTCTTGATTAGGGAGATAGGTTACTAAGCCTTTGCAGCTTTGCCTTGAAGGTGCAGACTGCTGGTGCAGGTGAGGGCCATTTGAACAGAAAAACATAGAAGCATAGAAACAGAATGAGTCAGAAGGGGGCTCCTGGGTTATCCAGTCTGACCCCTGGCCCCAGCTGGCCCTGCTCATGACATGCCTACCATGTGCAAGTCTGAGAAATATTAGAATAAATAATTGTTGACAAACACTGTCAGCAACAGCAAGCAAAATAAGGAGGAAAAGCATAAAAAAGCAAATATAAAGTTTCAAGTTTTTGTAGCCAGCCTCAGTTGGAGAACCAAAACAACAATCCTCCCAATTCACTTTTACCAGAATGAAATTGAAAGCAGGTTGTAAAGCATCGAGCTTTTGAATGAGATGCTTTAATCAAACAGTTTTGTCTTCTACAAGTGTTGCAAACCCTGTCCTGGCTTGCTAACAATGCAGTGTCTAGCAACTTTGTATGGCAAGTTGCTGAATTTGAGCTAACTTTGTTGTATGTCTGAAATGGCATCAGCTGTTTCACTAGAAACACAGAGAATGCAGAGGCTCGCACTCTAATGTCATGGTGATTTGAGAAACCCCCAACTGGTGGAAGAATGGCAGAGAGAAATGAGTAGCCTACCCCGCTTTGGCAATGTCTTCCACCAATGTCTGAACTACCTCTCTGCAGTTTGGGCAAGTGCCCTTGGGGAATTCTGCAGTAATTCGGAGGTTGGGGACAAGGTATCCAGAGCCCTATCCTGTAGGGAAAGCCATGAAAGCCTTCTGGCTACTAACCCAATGGGTCCCAAGGTGGTTTCCATGTTTGGAAGGCATACCTGTGTTGTGAAGTTGAGTCCAGAGATCCCCTGTAGAGAATTTCTCCTGTGGAGTTTTGTATTTGCCAATTATTTCCAATGTGGGCCATTGAGCTAGGCATATTTGCTGACTTACATCTTTTGGCAGCACCAAGTTCTCTTACACTCATAGTGTGCATTCTAGGCTGTACCAATTGGCACTTACCAGCCCCATTTCTGTGAATAATGCATAGCAGGCAGCATCCACATGTAGTTGCCCATCCAGCTGCAGGCCAGGACCTTTCCAGCTTAGCAAAGACTAAGCTACATGCTAGCCACCGCACCAAACTCTCCCTCTCACACAGGGGCCTATTCCAGCTTGTGCCAACTGGCTGTTGCTCTCTTGGGTGCTGTAGAGATGTTGCCAGTCCACCACCACCACCAAACTAGACCACTGTGCCTCAGTGGTCCTTGCCTGTAGTGGCCTCACATGGAGATTGTTTTTCCCAGGGACCTATGGAATCCTTTTAAAGCCAAATATGAATTTTCTTTATATTCTCCTTTGGCTGATCTGGGATGGCAGTGCCCACCCTTCTGCATGTCAGTGTTACCTGGTCTTTGGTTAGGATCTAGACATGTGACATTTCCAGGTATAAGAAATCCATGTGGGTTTTCATCAGCTCTACTGAAACAGAAGCATTCTATTGCACACTGAGCCAGTACTCTAAAACTGAAAACTTAGGAATGAGGAAGTCCACTGTTTTCTTTCCACAAGGACATATGGTGTAGAAGGGAGTAACAAAGTTAACAGAAGTACACAGAGCCAGAGTAGCAGCTCCAAGAAACCCCCCCTCTTCCCTTCAGCATTATTATCTAGGCTACTTAGCGTTAGGCAAATGCAAGTCTCTTTGTTTTCAGTCTTCAAGCCGGGCCCGATCCTGGTCCCCGATAGGCTGCTTTTCTTCAGGGCTCTTCTCCCTTGCCTCCTCCAGTTGTGGGCCCTTGGCTGACCCTGATGTCAGCTTCTTCTGGTCCTGGTCTGTTACGCCACTGGTCCTCCCTTGCGGGGTTGGTGTTTGCAGGTCCTCCATAGGTTCCACGGTCCTTCGGTCTCCTTGTGGTTTTGGAACTTTCCTCAGCCTGGTGTAGTGTCCCTGCGTAGGCACTCCCGCAGATATCACTGCTGTGTAGCGAGGTGCATCTGGGCATGGTCCGTCCACAAATCAATGATCTCCAGGCAGTCCAGTCTCAGGCAAGTCAGCTGATGTAAACTGGCAGCCCGCCCCCACCTTCCCCTGTGCCATTGCAAGCCGCAAGCAGCAACCAACCAGTGGCCGCAGCTTCACACACTGCAGGCAGTCAGTTAGCCAGGCACAGCCGGACAGCCAGCATGGCTGCCCTGGCCTCAGAGAAGGAGCGATGCCAGCCAGCTAGCCAGCATCACAGAAGGGTGGAGAGAGGTGCCTGCCGGGACTGGTGTTGGAGAGGACCAGCCCCAGCCCCCCTCCCCTTCGCACCTCCATGCCAGGAGTTGCCCTGGTGCTGAGGAGCAGCCATGCGTGCCCCAAGAAAGCACTGACTGCCAGTTTTTCAAGCCTGCGTTTACAGCTTTGGGGGAGTTTGACAAACTGCCTCCTTTCTCTCCTGAGGCAGCTGGTATTCCACCCCCCACCCCCCCCCCCCCCGCTTTGAAAGCCAGAAACCCGAAATACTGTACCTGTTCTTGTGAGGTTTGCATCTTCTCCTCGGTGACCCAATGAAATCCAGCAGATGTGCACTGGTCTGTGGCCTCAGTGGCAATTAAAAGATTGTTCACATACTGCAGTAAAAACACCATTAGAGTCTCTAGTCCATTCAGACAAGTCTGTAGCCAGTGCTTGAAAGAAAGATGGGTGAATTCCCTCCTTCCCTGGGAGAGGATGGTTGAACACAGCTGGCTCTTTGTCCCATCCTGGCATTCTCATTTGAAGGCAAAAAGAATTAGTTCCGTAGGAAGCACTCCATGGGCCCCACAACTGGGCATTTGGCCTGATGCCCTGTGCCCCCGTCGTCAAGGATCCCTGTTGTGTCCCCCCCCCACCAATTGGGACAGTCACAACTGAGCAGACTGCCTTAGTGTCCACCAAGAAATCCATGTCCTCATCTCCCACCCTCATTCTCTCCTGGATTTGTGGGGGTGATGTGGAACTTTCTGTGAGTTCCCTATTCATCATCCAGTTTCCAAAGTGGCCACAACAGCCCAGGCCTTGTTCTGGGGGTATTCCCTTTTCCAGTGTCACTCCTGTTTACACATCACACACTTATTCCTTCCTCACCTATGAAACTCCAATCTTGGCCAGTGGGACCT